AAAAAGAGCCATTTCTGTTCTGGTGGTAATGATCAAATCGTTGACAGCACTGCTTGTTATTTGCTTTTTTTTAGGATGGCACCGATGCCTTAATATGCGCTGAAGTCAAGAATAATGTCACTGTAGAACATTATATGGCCGACCAAGGGTACGGTAGACCTACGAAGACCACACCTGTAAGTACCTGGCATCCTCAACTGTCCAGCGGTATTTTTACCAGGTTACCAGTTTAGATATAGCTTGTATGGATCACAACATGAAATAATGAGTATAGAGATGAAAACGCGCAGATAAACTGAGTTTTTGCGAGTTTCGATTAAGTGTGTGATAATTGACGTATTTTTGTATTCCAGACACCCGCCTCTATTATTGTAACTCTTGCTGAATCAAAAGATGGAGTTGTTGCCTGTCGGTAAGTCCCATTCCATCTGCGAGAGTATCACAAGTGGATCAAACCTACAAGTTTTCCTTAACTTTCATGGACTCCTATTTTTGTCCTTGAGCTTAAAGAGGCACTGAGAATGTAAATTATGGCTCAAAATCACAACATGATGAACCAGTCAAGGTTCGAATCTGGACATCTTGATCCTAAGCCATTGGAGTCTCCTCCCTAAACCGAGGCCAGGAAGCCTCGGATCCAGAGTGTCAGGGGTGGGGTAGGGTTATTTTGTCGTTTGTGCTTAGTTCCGTTTTCCTCTAACTTTTTAATGATATGAAAACACCAGAGGAAGAAATACTACAAGAAATTAGGTAGAAATTCTTCCCTTTCTAGAAATGAGAGATAATAAAACACGGTTGTCGTTATTTAAAATAGCTTTAAAAGGAAGAAGAAAGATGACAAGATGGTGGATCTTACGAAGACATGGCATCTTGTGTATGCAAGCGGCCCTATGAGTAAGTGATTTTTTTTTTAATAGTAAATATGTATTCATTGTTTGACAGTGTGAACGGTTTTTGGATCAATGTCAGTGTCTGAGCAACTGCGCACCTACTCCTCCCCAAACTCAAGATAAAGCCTAACTTCTTATCGCTTGACTGCAGTTGGGTTGGGGGGGGGGTAGATGTGCAGTTTCTCAGATACTGATATTGATGCTTTTCTTAATAAACAGGTGGAGACAAGATAGGCATACACTCCACAACTCCAAAAACCAGCCCTCAGAAAGTGGACGTCTGTGCAAAGGGAGAGCTTGTTGCAGCAGAGAAGAGCATTACATTGGTACAGGTTCATGGTAAGAGAGCTGATACTGTGGTTAAAACGAAGTTCATTCAAAGAAACCATTTTTGGGAAAAATTAACAATAGTCTAATTAATCTAATATTTATTTTAAACCTGATAAATCTCGAACAATCGACGACCGATTTCATGGTGCTATACATTACGCGCAACACGTCAATTATTAACAAAAGATATTTGGTAAAACAAAAGTCTAATATGTCTAGCTTTAATCATTTTGAGAACCAATGACTTAACCGCA